CAATATCAATTCGCACCCTCAAACCATTAAATGGAGCAAGTCTTTGTGATATTGAGAGCACAACTCCCATTTTTGCATTTCGATTATATAGTTGGACTGAGGTTGAAAATACCAATGGCAACAGCGTGTAAGTACATCCATAGAGAACAAGAAAGTAAATAGCAAAATGCTGGCCCATTTGGCCTGACAAATCAATACATAAATTGTTTCAATGGACTTATTTCGCAGAAACAAACTCGTAACAATTGAAATAAGTATCAATGCTGTTTTAAGGGTTTTAAATATAATCTACAAGTCCTTGCTATGTAAGTCTCCTCGAGTACTCCTCACCATAACCATGGTCAGCTAACGAGTCACCTAGGAACCGACAGACCAAATTCTGAAGCAACAGCATTGCAAAGATTCAGAAATAAGAAACATAGAGTGTAGACAGCATTGACAATTAATGAGGCAAAGAGAGATATGGCACATCGAGTAACATTCAAATCACCTTGTTAACATATGATAAAATTACAAAATGTGTTTACTAAATGATTTGAAAAGCTTAGACCTTCCTAAAGAATGAATGCAGAAACTTCTAACATGTAATTATGACAGTTAATTGCACTATACTATTTAAGGGATCCCATATTAAGTCAGGCAATGGAGCATAGATGACAGGACCCACCTTCAAAACAGCCCCATTTCTCACGTACCATCAATTCCATCTGGGAAAAGCAACAGTTATGAGTTATCTTACCATTCCTCACACTTGTATATATATGTACAATAAATTCAACTCAAACCAGTTGCATTCAAATGCATTATTTGGTTAGGGCTTGCCTTAAACCATATAGCTGACCTATAAAAGTTTACTATGGGCATTCCCTCCAGGCCTCAATAAATCTGAAAATGAAAACTTTTCCTAAACGTCCTGTTACACTTTGATAAAACATTAAACCTAAATTGCTTCTGTGAAGCACTGCAGTAAGCCGTTTTTTGGATTTTCAAAAAAGTCCATAAGCTTTTTAACAAAACTCAGAAAGAAATAGGAAATCATTTATGCCAGAGCCAGACCATGGAACAAGGACCATTGGAGTCAGAATGCAAGAAGGATAGGAAAAACAGTCATCAAGATTCGAAACTCAGATGCAAATACATACAACTATATCTCAGCTGCAACATAAGAATTTGACTTGCCTAGAAAATTTAGGCTGACAAAACTATGTCAAGGATGAAGTACCTAGCCATTTGTTCCTAATCTTCCTGCCAGCTTAGTAATCTGATAATCTCTAACCGAATCCATATGGGTGATTAACAAATGGTCAAACACTTTTAAACAGCACACTTTTTACTTAGACAAGACAAGCAGATTCATTTACCAATAACTGAACAATTGATCAATTATAAGAAAACAGCAGACTTTTAGGATGAGAGCAATTATAATTTCATACTTGTGAATGATGATGGGGCTGTACCACTTTATTTGTTTCAACTTATGTGCCTGCATGAATCAAATATTTCCGGTCAGAGTGGTAGGACACCCAATCAAAGCACTTTCACTCTCTTTGTTACAGCCCCAGTGTGTTTTACTCCCAGAATTCAACCTCACCTAAGCCGAAGTCAATCTAATGCATTTGACGAATCCCTTAATTTTTCACTCCTTAATTATACTTCTTAATTATCTAAGGTCCCTAAAATTGAAGGTGCATCTTTAACCTCGTGCAAATACATATGGAACATCCAATTTACCTATTTGCGGAGCTATAATTTAATTAAACCACAGACATTTTGAAAAACATAAAGGGTGTCGATTTGAAGCAGCAAAATTTGAAACAACAGAAACACACAATAGTAACACATCCTTAATGGAAAGGGGCGAAAAGAAAATCAGCTACTGACACTCAAAAACAGATATAAGATTACTAGAGGCCGGGAGAGGTGCAGCAGAGTGTACCCTGTGAAAGCGCTCGGCAACTCCTGGATGTTGTGCTGAGGCACGAAGTCATCCTCGCTGCCGCCACCGCGCTGTGCAGCGGCAACAGTGACTGCACGCAATGGAAAATAGACGGAGATCTGCCAGTACCAAAAAAAAAAAAAAATCAATGACCAATTTCAGAGACAATTCAGAAACTAGCACGTCGACAGTATAGTCAAGAAGAGATTGAAGGACCTGGAGGACGAGAAACGGCGTAGAGAAGAGGCCGTGGTTTTAGAAGGGAGAGGAAGGCCGGTGGCGGAGGGAGCTGCTGACGATCTGGTGAGAGAGGATCTCAGACCGTTGAATCTGGTGGCAGATTTAACGGAAGCTAGAGATCTGGCGATGAATCTGTTGCAAGCGGAAGCCATTAGAGAGGAATTGGAAGGAGAACGAGATCTGAGAAAGGATCAGAACAACTGCTAATCTGAGGGTTTAGGGTTTAAGCGGCCCGGGCGAAGATCTGGGTATCTGGGTCGGTATGAGTAGATTGGGTTGAGAACAGAATTAGGCCCATATTCATCGCATTTGAGGCCCTTTAAGTCCAATCATTAGGCTCGCAAGTATAAAGCAACTCATAGCCCATTGTTTTAATTGGGGCCGTAAGGCCATGGGCTTCGGCGAGGAAGGAGGCCATGCAGCAATGAGGGGGGAAAAGATGTAAGCTTGTAGGGGGAGAAGTGAACTGGTTAATGGAAGAGATGAAAATTCTCCATTAAAGGAAACAACGTCGTTTTAACAAGGTTGTCTTGCAATTTTTTATGTATGTCAACCAGCTTTTATGTTTTCCTTTTCTATTGTATTATGTAACAGTATAAAAAATGATATAAAAAATCTTTTTAATTAGAGCTCACTATAACACTTAATAACGTGTTAACGTTATTGTTTTAAATTTATAATTTTAAATGATATTTGTTTGGGCAGCTTCGAGATCCAATACCGTAAATATCTTCAACTGCTTCAACACCTGAAATTCCTAAGAATGTTTTCTCGGGGAAAACATTTCGACGCTCAAGTTAGCAATATTCAATATTCTAAAGAGAGATGCTCTCGAAGAGCAATTGCAGAGAAAGAAGCGTAGTAGAGTTAATCCCTTGCATGATGGTAATTGGGGATATTTATAATTCCAAATACTGACATGAGTCAAGATGTGTATGCATCCAATTGACCCACGTGTTACTGCCCACGTGAATATGTCTCCTCATCTTGAACTTGTGAGCTTACAACTGGGCGTATTGTGTGTGGCCTATAATGGGTGTTGGGTCTAATCCCAACAACATTATAAGTATATTGTTATGATTAACGATCTAAATAACTCAATAATTATTTTTTTCTGTTGAAAATAAGAGATTTGAATTCGAATCGCATGACATACGAATGAAATAAGATAAAAAATAAAAAAATAGTTGCTTTTCATTATGTAATCAATATAAAAAATTACTTTTCATTATGTAATCAATATAAAAAAAAAATATAAATATCTATAGTTATGGGTTTTCTCCGCATCATGGGTAATGTTCTCTAGTATCTATAAAATTCAAATTAGACTGAAAGGGTGACTGCGGTTGCCTTATTTTAATAAATGTAGTTTAACTGTTTATAAGAGGCATGTATATAATTAGCATTGCTTCTGAAACTTTCGGGTCTAGAAATGGGTTCTCCAACACCACTTAAAAAATGCCAATCGAGGAGAGTCCATTCCCTCAGTAAACAAGCCTTCTTTTGCATTTATTTACCAAGAAAAATATAAGCCTTTTTCTGCATTTATATAGATTTTGCGTCATCACGAGTAAACTTTACCAAGAAGATGGAGCCAAGTAGGCTAAATAACTAATTGAAAGAACTTCACCGTGCAGTCTGATGAGTCACGCGCTTTAATGAAGGATGAAAGATTACCTGTTTTGAGAATTGAATTCTCAATTGCTAACAATTCTTAATTTAACTATTAACTATTACATTTGTCAAAAAAAAAAAAACTAATTGGAAAAATACTGTTCCTTTTTCAAGTTTATTTAGTGAAAGAGTTATCGCCCTTTTCAACTTTTTCATCCTTTAAACGTCATATTCTTCTCTATTATTTGTCTCTTGTTTTTGTGCTTGCACCATTTCAACTACAATTTAAAACCACACATTAAGCAATTGACCAAAAATAAAGACTTATATTTTAAGAATATTTTAATTGAGAAAAATAACGAATTATTCCTTATTATTATATAATTTATCTTCCTATATACAGACAGCCAAAAAAAAAAAACAAAAAGAAATATTAATGTATAATATTATATGAAAGAATTATTTTCATAGACTTTTTCCATTTCCATTTTTTGTAAGTGTGAATATATTTTTTTTTTCTATACCTAGAAAAAAAATTTTGAATTTCCCCTGATAAGAAAAATTATGTAAACAGAAGAATGAAAACTACCAAAACCAAACTTAACCCCTTTGATGGTCTGCTTTGCAGACCAACTCCAATGTTGGAGGAATTCTCAGACGCCATTAATGAACTAAACTTGAAATTTGGGTTTGACCCGTACAAAGCCTGAACCCCTTCTACGTCATCAACTTTCAGGTCCACCTTCTTCGTTCGTGGACTCAGACTCGGGTACATCACCGCTTCCTTCACCGGAGTATGACCCAACCCCAGTACGTGGCCGATCTCGTGGGTCGCCACCGATTCCAAATCGACGGCTACCTTTGACTTCACCTTGCTAAAATCGACTGACCACGTTTCCGCTTCGTCGAGATGGAACCTTCCGTTTTCCGGCGAGAACGCGTGGCCCAAAACCCCCAGTACCCCGTCGAACGGTTGCCCGTCGCCGTGGTCCCCCCGATAAAACCCAATTCGGATGTCCGCCGATTGGTAGTCATCTATCTCCGTGAAATTTAACGGAATCACGGACGCCCACCGGGCAAAGGAACGCTGGAAAACCGCCTGTATTTCCGACAAGCTTATGTAATCAATCATGTCGTTCGGCGAGAAAGCATACGTCAGCATCGCCGGCGGCGGACGTACCCACCTCGGTTTCCCATAAAAATACGTGAAGTGTTTCGTTGTGTGCCTCGTTGGGGCAGCTTCCGAAACTCCACATCTCGGCGACACGATGGTCGATATGGTGTCGGAGTCGAGTTTTCCAGTCATCGGCAAGCCTAATTTCTCCTGGTACCGGACAACGGCTGATTCAAATTCGGCGTCGAAGACGTCCGTGAAGTTGTCGTTCTCGGGAACCGAGAGATACCCAAAACGGTTAAAGTATTCCTTCAGCTCCGACATCCCGCTGACGTGGCTACCCTTCCCGGTATCCACAAAGCGAGTCAAGTCTCGCCACGTGGCATTATGGTCATCGGTGGTTAAGACAGTTACTTGGCCCGGTGTGATTCTGGCGGCAGAAGAAGGACACGGGAGACAGGAAAAGAGTAAAGAGAAGAGGAAACAGTAACAGGACAACGGAAACATCATGTTTTTTTTCTGTTGTTAGTTATTTCTGTTCCTCTCGGCATTAAAAACCTTGGAATTTGCAGGAATTGAATCATGAGGGAGTTTAATTTATGAGGGTTGGAATTAAATAGTCGTAATCAAAGGAAAAAATGGGAATTCTTCAATTTAATAATAATTGAAAGTTAAGTTGATTCTGCCTCTACTGGTTTGGCTTTTCATTGGAGATTCTGACTTCGAAGATCAGAAGATGTTCACTGGTGGGTTAACCACTGGCTATTAAAGCTTCCAAAACAGAATTGTTCCTTTTTTTAGTCTACAGAACAAACGTTTATTTGTCAAACCCATATTACAAAACTTAAAAACAACATTTATTTTTTAAGGATTGATGTATTATAGTTTGAACTATATATTAAAAGTATAATTTGTTTTATAAATTTATTAAAATATCTTTAATAAAATAAATTTATAAAATGAATTGTAATTTTAATGTATAGTCTATATTTTAAAAACGTTTTTTTGTTTTTCAAAAATTGGCTACTTTATGATGAATAAGGGCGGGGAAAAACAAAAACATATTAGTTATATTAGTTTTGATTGGTTAGAGTTTAGGTGGAGGGTTTAACTCTGTTTGTTGACCAAAATTAGGTAATTTCAGCGTTTAATATATTGTTCATTAGATGACTTTTGTAGTGGAACATCTGTTGTTCTAACTTGTAATACAAGACAATATGACCTTAGATGCTTAGTTACATGACGTATTAACTAATTATGTATGGAGCTGCCTTGATCATCACAAATTAATATCATCATCATGAATATTTCTTATTTATTTTAGTTACTAGTAGAAATAATGGTATTTTGAAAGTTCGTATTTTTATTTAGTTTTATATTGGTTTCACTTTCAGAAGCACAAATAGAGCTCATCTTGATGAAGGAAGAGTTCTTTCTTTGTCACAAGCTATATATCAATTATCAAATACCCCATAGCTGCCGTCTTTGGATGTCCTTTTTCTTATTGGTTCCTTTTAGTCATGAAAAGGAGGTTTTTTTTATTTTTATTTTTATTTTTTGGGACCAATCATTGATGTGAAGTTAATATCAAAAAAATATCATCAATTATGTGGAAATGGGATTTTCGTACTCTTTTAAATAAAGTCAATATCTAAATATTTGAAAACAACTACTTAAAACTAATTTTATAAAAAATATGTATATATATATATATGTATATACATACTAAATCCAAAAAGTTTGAGGGAGGAAGATGAGCTAATTGAGCCGCAAGCAGGACAGATATCTACTTGCCCCGATGGATGATGATGTGTGGATTGAGGATTTTAAAACCTATATATCCACGTGGCAGAAAGGTCCACACCTAGTTTGGTTTTCATGGAACCATAGGAAAATTCAATTGAATCATCATGATAATGGGAGATGATTTTGAGTTATATTGGGGTCGATGAAGAGGGCGTGTTAAGTGGCAAGCGCAGTCATGCCCCCCATCTTGACTAAGCTCGTGTTAGATGTTGCCACGTTATACTGCATAAATAATCAACTAGTTGGCCGTGGATTTTTTTTTTTTTTGGCTGCGATTTTCATAATTCCATTTGACCGTTGTTGACTCGTAATGGGAAGAAAAAAAAAGGCAAAACATGCAGATTAGCCCCTCAACTCGTCGTGTGGTGGCAGATGACCCCCTCAAGTCAGTTCACGCGCAAAAGAACCCCTTAACTCGTCTTAGGTGGCAAATCAGCCCCTCTGTGTAACATGACGTCACGAATCCGTTAAAACTTAACGTTTCGCTCATCATCCCCTCCTCTGCATCTAATCTGGATTTTTTTTACCGAGATGGATGCTTTGTCTTTTATTACTAACCTTTCTTTGGAGCTTTTCTCGCGATTCATTAGACGAAGCTACCTTTGCTTGCAATTCCTGCAACTTTTGACTGTATTCTTCCTTTGCTTTTGTTTCTGCATCTAAACAGCACAATCGCGATCTCCATATAACGAAAAACAAAAAGAAGGCATGAACAGATTGGGAAATTCCTATCCACTCATGCCAAGTTCTGTAGGAGATGTTACCGTAGTGAGACGATTGTTGAACCGAAGGAATTTCATCGATCCAATGGATTAAGATTTCATGGACAGAGGCGATTTTAGTGGTGGTGGAGGATTCGTGGCACAGATCGGAGATCTTGTGGCCACGAATTGATTTTGAGAGGGTGACAACGAAGCAAGGAAGTTCTTGCATGTTTTCGATTCATGAAACTGGCGAATGTCGGCGGGGGAGTGGATTTCCTTGGAAGGTGATTAGAAGCGGAAAGGAGGAGAAATGGATGGGACCTTTTGGGATTGAGGCACAGGGGCAAGGATGATCACTTCGGAGTTGTTATTAGGAGGTAGATTAATAGTTGGAGCCCAGATTCCTCTGTAGTTTTGGGGAGGCGATAGTTCCAGCCAACCGGTAGGGGATTGGGGAGGTGGCACAAAGGAGGTAGGGCCTCAACAGTTGTAGCAGTTACCGGTGGAGGAAGTGGTAGTGGACGGAGACGATGGAAATTTGGGTGATTGTGCTGCTGGTAGCGATGATTCCATTTCAGAGCAAGGGAGAGGTTGAGGAAGAAGATAATCATTAAGGAATAGTCTCTGAGAAGAAAAGTAGAGGAGGTATATGGGTATTAGGCCCGGTGATCTAATCTGAATTTGGGTATTTATGGACAATAAAATCTGAACTTGGGTGGGCTTTCACTAGCTGCTAAAGGCTCAATTTTCGCTGTTCGGAATCTGCAGAAACTCATCCTCTCTGGCAATCAGATAGGGAATGTAATGAAAGACAAAGCATCCATCTCAGAAAAAAAATCTAGGTCAGACACAGAACGGAACATGATGAGGGAAACGTTATGTTTTAACAGATTAGTGACGTCATGTTACATAGAGGGGCTGATTTGCCACCTAGGACGAGTTAAGGGGTTCTTTTGCGCGTGAACTGACTTGAGGGGGTAATCTGCCACCACATGATGAGTTGAGGGGCTAATCTGCGTGTTTTGCCTAAATGGGAAAGAGTTTACTCTTCAGTTCTTTTTCCTTGTCCCATAACAAAGATTGATGGAAAATGATTAAGG